TCACTTTTTTCTGTAGGTTTGAAATATTATTGCATAATACCAGTTATTTTTAAGGAATCACTGACTAGTTAGGAGAGTATGCCAGGGCATCAACAATAGTGGGAAACATGGGGTAATTTGCATAACGGGCGAAGCCTGTTATGCTGTTATTATTCATGTGTCCCACTGTGATTCCTTATATTTTTATTTCATTGTGAAATAAAATGGTAGATTAGACTTTAAAAATGTAGACATAGACTTAAATTACACAAGGACTTCCATGCCAATTTCAATGGTCCCCGCCCAATGACGTTAAACACCTAGGCAGCCGCACGAGATTTACATGCATATTTTGCCTCCTTAGCGTCAGGCACAGAGACAGATGCACATGAGATTTGCATGCATTTTAGGCCTCCTCAGTTCATGACCTATCGACCTGCCTAATTTACATTCCGGGAAATTATCAAGAAACTCCGAAAACATTCAAAGAGTTATCGCAGAGAAAAAAGTAGAAATGGAATTATTTCATTTTATATATGAAGCTTTAATTCTGAGCATTGCCATTTTTAAAATCGGCTTATTCGAGCCTGGAACTGAATTGCTATACATTCAGACTTGTTAATCATGTACCTGTATATAATTACATCCTAGATTAACAAAATCTGGTGAATTCTTCATGGTTTCAAGGATCAATTTGCAGATAATTCTTTAAACAATTGAACTCTGTTTAAAGAAAAAACGCCACGTAAGTACCAAAGAGTTACATGTATATTATGCAATAAATTTGGAGATCTTGAAAATAAATAGCCATACAGGTAGTTTAGATAACAAAAAAATCTTCATTTTAGGGTATTTTATTATTTCGTTTGTTTTGTAAACTTATCTTTTTCAATAGAGTTTCACCTTCTCAATATAGGATAAATAGATTCAATATAAATATTTTTATCTATACCCTCCATCTTCTCTCTCTCTCTCTCTCTCTCTCTCTCTCTTGCCCTCTCTCTCTCATCAGATTTACTTGAACAGCTCTATTCAATTAAATTAGAATATTTGGAACACTTTGTTTATTTGGATTTTTTTGCTTGTTTTCATTTTTCTAATTTAAAGTACGTGTCTTATAGTGCAACAAGAAAATTATTAAAACAACATTATTAAAGTTTTATTTATTTAATCATAATTCATGATACGGTAGATACTTTATTATAAATGTATATTATTTAGAAAAAAAATGGAATTCAGTATTAAGGAGGCTGGAGGGTCAACAAATAAATCCCAAATTAACCACCAGATTTAACTTATTTTTTTTTTATATGGTATCTTTAGTTGTCTACTATCATTTGACAAAGAAAAAATTCAAAGATTTTAGTTTTAAAATTTCATCATTTTTGTATATCTTTATATGGAGCTCTCCTTTTAAAGAAAATTGAAATAGTCTAAAAATGGCTGCGACCCCCCAGCCTCGTTAAATCATTTCATGCAAAAAAAAAAAAAAAAAAACCAAAGCTTGGGATGAAATATTAAAAAAAAAAAACATTTCGAAAGTACGTATGTTTAATACTTACTGTTTTCTTTTTTTTTTTCCTTTTATACATTTACGGGACTGTGTTCCCAAAGTACAACAATATTTTTTATTTAAAAAAATCATCATTATGCTGACAGTTAAAAGTGTTTTTATTTGGTCAAAAGATTTTCTTTTATAATCCAGGAGAAAATGCAAATTCATACAAATGAAAGTCCCTCTCTGGTACCCCTGTTAAATCGATTGTTGACATCAGAGTTATCTCTCCTATTTTTTATTTATAGAAAATTCAATCATCTTTACTGTCGTTCTTACACATTTTTGTGTGATTTGTAAAGACGTAGAAGATGTACGTTTAGTTTCAACATTAGTACAAACAATTGAACAATAGTTTAGGGAGTATGCACAGGTGGATCATTGATTAGGCCTACATGTGATCGACGCGATCGCGGCGATGTTCGAGAGTGGTGGAGCGGATCTCAAAAAAGGAAGACAATCTTCCTTTGCAATATTTTAACAATATACCCCTTTCTAACATGCATCCTAAATCTGATATAAATATGTAAGTAAGATTTATCTATCTAGAGTATACAGGTTGATAATATATTTTATCAGAAAAGCACCTTGTCGACAGCTAGCTTCTCATCTTCGGCAATCGCTAGCGAAGATGTCAGACAGTCATGTAGGAAAATTGTTTGTGTTAGAGACGTGTGATAGAGATATGTTTGTTAATATTTTTATTTATATATATTTAAATCAGTGGATTGGGAGATTCATATATTATTTAAATTAATTTATAAATGAAAATAAATTCCACATGTTGGAAACAGCAATAAAAACTCTGTATGCGTCAAACGTCAAAACACGTGGTTAAAAAAATTCTGCGTCGAAGTTCACCGTCAGTCTGCAACGTCACATCTTTATGACGTTATTCCTCTGTTCTAACAAAAATGCCATAAGGCCCTTTTGTCATGGGCGCAATCATATGAATATGAAGTTTAGACCATTCATGCTGATGATGATTCAACTGCTGCAGCTCGACGGAAGAATGATTTTCTACCCCTTCCAAAAAGAGCAGGACAAGAATCGCTTGTTGAAAATAAACTAACATAGTCAATAGACTACTTTTCTTTGTCAGCTTTATATTACCGAGTACATGTATCTCTTGATTGAGTGTTACATTTAAAGTGGAAACTAATCACTCCACATATAGATTTTTTTTTCTTCATTTTTCATATTTAATCTACCCTGTTTTATGTCTGGTGTGGTAATAGATCACTCCACATGCAGTCTTTCATGTTTACTGTACTATGTTATGTTTTGAATATGTCAGTTGCAGTATTACACTGCTGTAGAGTGTAGATTATTCTTTTTTTAAAAAATGTATGCATAATTTAATGTCGACTTGTGATATCGGGTTCAGTAATAGGCCAATCAACAGATATTCTCTATTATGCATAATCTACACTGTGAGTGTTTTTCAGGCTTTTTAATAAGCTGCTCCAAATATTCATGTAGAATCTTTTTTTTAAAAACTTTTTATATAAAATGTCCTGCATCAAGTGTTTTGTCCCAGTGCAGCATTGTCATTTTGTTTTTAATTTTTAGGTATAGTTTATGTAATTTTATGTCTCAGGTCAAAGACGGTTTTAGACTAAGCCCATTTTATGTTTTTTTTTCTCTGTTTAGCGTCCAACCTTCAATCAAAAACCTACCTACATGTACCTATTTGTAAATAAAAATATAGCTTAAAAAATAAAACACAGAATGTACGTGTATCATGTCTTTAGTTATAATAATAGTGTAAATATGAGGATTTTATTTCATCAATCTGCTTTTCTGGTAGAAATATCTATTCTTCAGCAAAATCAAAATAATAAATTTAAATGCCTAAAGTACACTACCTATGACATATTCATTGTACATATTTGAGAAATTGACAGAAAGATTTCAACAAAAATAATCAAGTGTAGGGTTTCTGATTTTGTTAATTGTCTGATACATGTAGGTGTCAAAAACCAAGGTGCGATTGGATGCCAAACAGAAAAAAGACTTGGAATGGCCTATTTAATGTTATTATCCTACCTGCTCATGGAATAAAATGACTTTTGATCAATTTGAAAGAGTACTGATCATATTTTTTCAATGATATTCTTATTTTTTTATGAAATAGAAATTTGTGATATTTTGCAGTGCTATGTCAGATGGATTTCCTTATTCTGTATGACCAAAATGTATTTTTGGACAAATTAAGTAGAATACATTTGACATGTTAATAATTAGGGAGATTTTTGACATTGCAATGAAAAAAATATCAGATGCATAAATGGAGGGGGTGTATTAGACCATTCTGTAACTTAATACATGTAGTTTATTGCCTCTTAATGCAGCCGAGATTTCTGAGTGAGAAATAGTATTGGACATTTTTTTCATACAATATATTTTTTAGAAATCTATAAGAAAACATAGAATTTGTTTGCATGAAAGTAATCAAAAGGGATCATGTTGAAGAATATTTAAATGTGGTTTTTTTTAAATTATATTTTTGTTCAAGTATCTATTGTTGAAATATAAATTCATATTTTAATTTTGTTGAGGGGGGGGGGGGGGTACCTCTTCCAAGTTATTACTCTACATGTACTATTATTTAATAAAAATATTTTCTTTAGTCATTTATTAGCAATTGATTTTTACTTCTAATTTATTTCTTCAGTTGTTTTTCCCTAATTTGCTATGCATTTTTTTGAATAGCCACTTTAATCATTATTCTTACCTTTAGGATGGGAAACCAAAAGGGGGGGGGTAGTTGTGGACCATCTGGTACCTTTATTAGCCCTCAATGTGACCAAGATTTTTTGAGTGAAGAATAGTATTAGACAGATCTTTCATATAATGATAAAAAATAAAAATTCTATTGGACAGATTTTTTTTTAGAATTTAAAAAGTGTCAAATTTGTGTGCATGAAAATGGCCAAATCGGTCGAATTTCAAACGTTCTACATGGATTATTCTCTTAATTTATATATGTTCAGACAATCCATTGTTTAAATAAGTTAATAGTATCAATATTGTTTAAAAATAATTTTTAATATTGAATGCATATTGCACAATAATTTTTTTATGGGTAATAATTATCTTGTATTATGATTTTTGGAGTGACTGGAAAGGGGAGGTAACTCATTACCCCGTGGTTCCGTAATTTACCCACAATGCCATGTTCATATTTCGACTAAGTGTTCATTACACATCCCTTTACACCTTGTGAAAATTTCAACAAAATCTATTGACAGGTTTTTTTGGGGTCAGGTGTCCTTAGCTACCTTAAGTGCAGTCATCCTTTGAAAATAATTGACCAGGGGGATCTTGAGTTATGGCCAGTATTCTTAAACGTTTAAGGATACTGCATAACGTATGCCTCTCACTGAACAAATGGCAATAACATTAGCTTTTTAAGCCTTTGACTCAGAAGTGCTAAATATTGGACATTTTACAAGTGTCTAACCTTTGTATGTCCATACTGAGAAGATTGATCCTTCTTGGTTATCTTTCTCTTGATCCACCACATCCTCAAACTTCTTAGTCATGTCCAACACAAGGATGAAGAAGGCCTTTGGTGTTACGTAAATTTGGTGACAGGCATAATACGCTAACTGGCCAGCAAAATCCAGCATGCTTACTGTTGGTAACTTCTCTTTTTCAGACAAGATTTTCTGGAAAATTTCAAATTTCACCATAGCTGGAGCTTCTGAAGAGATAAGACTGGCCATTACATCTACTGTGTTTTCTTCTTCTGTGTCCTCCGTTGGTGAACTAGACATTTCCACATTCTCTTCTTTCTTTTCCTCTCGGCTATAAACTACTTCAGTACTTTTATCAGTACTTCCTACTTCCAAATTTTCTTTTTCGTTTGCATCAGAGCTGGCAACGGCACTACTGCTTGGGTCTGGTTTCAAATCTGTAGCATTTATTCTGATAAATGCCTTTAATGGTGAGTCATCATCAGCCACTGAAAAAGAGGAATGCTGTTATTTAGTTCTGTTTTCATTTAGTACATCAAACAGTAATACACGAGTTTCGAGATTATCTTCCTTGGTGCGCTCTCTCGTTGAGGAGGGGAGTTTTGTTGCCACGTAAACAAACAGGTGGGACAGATATTTGATACTGTGTATGTTGGATACATTGCATCATCGATATACCGGTTTATCATAGCTACACAATTGTCAGGATGCACTCTGCAGCTTGAGAATAATCAAATAAAAGTAATTGCATCATTTTTTAATTAAAAATATCGAAACAAAAAAGAAAATATCAGTGGATGTGAGGCTTTTCAGACGAGGGAAGAGATATGGACCTCTTATAAATACGATAAACATGCATCTGGTCATTGCACGTCGGGAATCTAAATTACATATTGATTCTTTTCCTTATTTTAACTTAAAAAAACTTACTTTTTAGAAAATGTTCGTACAATCAAAAAAGTCTGTTACTTTGTATGAGAACTATGACGTTTCTTTCGTTTTCAAGTAATCGAAAATGTATAGTAGATTTGTAAATATGCATAGTTGAGCTTGATAAAATCATCAAATGTATCACTGCTTTACATTATTATCTTTCTATAACATTTATTTAATTTTAAAAGCCGTAAATATCGTTCTTTTATTTATGCACTTTTGTATAAAGAGGCAAGCTGTCCCACATCAATGCTGAAATGGGTACTTTTTGCGCCTCTGTCGTAAGAGAGTTACAATCTCGAAACTGGCGTATTATTTAGGCAAAAAAATTAGTCCTGTTTTCTTAAGAATATTAAATGCATGAGGGACATTTTTTTTCTTCATATCTCATGAAAAACACACGCAGGGATTTTTTTTAAAGATATAATTTCAAAACTAAATTTGTAGTCCACGATGTTTAAGCATCGAGTGTATATATCAAAACAAGAGGCCCAGAGGCCACATCTCTCACCTGAGCAAATTATCTAGGAAAAAACACAAATCAGATCAGAAGTGAAAAGTTTACAATACTTTCATTAATCATTGCTTTGAAGTACTTGAGAAGACGATTTTTAAAGAGATTTTTCCTATAGATATATTCCTATGTTAAACTTTGTTCATCCGGTGTGGCCCCACCCTACCCCTGGGGGTCATGATTTTAATAAACTTGAATCCACACTATCTGAGGATGCTTCCAAATGAGTTTCAATTTTCCTGGCCCAGTGGTTTTTTTAGAAGAAGGTTTTTGAAAAATGTTAATAATTTTTCACTTATTCTAGGAAAAACACAAATCAGATCAGAAGTGAAAAGTTTACTATACTATCATTAATCATTGATTTGAAGTACTTAAGAAGACGATTTTTAAAAAGATTTTCCCTTTTTTCTCCTATGTAAAACATTGATCGGCCATTGTGGCCGGACCCTATCCATGGGGGTCATGATTTGAACAAACTTGAATCTACACTACCTGAAGATGCTTCCATATGAGTTTCATCTTTCTTGGCCCAGTGATTCTTGAGAAGAAGGGTTTTTAAAAATGCCAATTATTTTTCACTAATTCATAACTATCTCCCCTTGGAAGAGGATGTTGGCATTCATTTGAACAAACTTGAATCCCCTTTACATAAGGATACCTTGTGGCAAGTTTGGTGGAAATTGGCCCAGTGGTTCTTGAGAAAAAGATGAAAATGTGAAAAGTTTACAACAACGACGATAACGACAGACAACGGACAAATTTTGATCAGAGAAGCTCACTGGAGCCTTCGGCTCAGGTGAGTTGATAATCTATTTCCTGCTTCTTTCTCTATTGTGTCTTCTACATCTATGATCCCGATAATTCATAAAATGAAACGATGTCATCCTAAAAACGAGATGTGTTAAACTTACAGAACCTAACAGTAATGCTGGTCTATTGCTTACGTAACACAACTAATCTAAGTGTTTCAGCACTATAGATAGTGCTTATAATTTTATTAAACTTTGTCTAGTTCCTCAGTCTTTGGTTTACCAAGCTACATGAAATCTGTGAATCCTGCTGACGTTCGAGGTCTGAGGTTGAAGGAGCCATCGTTGATCATGTTGTTGATCAAGTTCAAGCTTGGAAAACCTTCAAAAACCCCATTTTGTACCGTTGAAGTAGATTCCTCATGAATCTGCACTGAAATCAATGCCACCATAACTTATGCTTTATCCTTTGTACTTGACAGCCATATTTGCGTTTTTAACTAGGCCAAAAATTTGAGCTTGAAATCATAAATTGTTTTAACTTTTGTCAAATCATGTCCCCAAAGTCTTTCTTTCAAAAGATATGAAAATTCAAAAGTTAAAAGAATAATTTTTGTTAGGTCACAAAAAAAAATTATCGGAGCAAATCCTATGTTGATATTGCATGAAATCACCTTCGAAAAATTAAATTTATCGATTATATCTCTTAAAGAACAAACTCAACCTTTTTTTTCCACAAAAAAAGCACGTATACCTGTACACAGATTAATTTTAGCCTATGTTACTTAACTTCTGTTTTTAAAAATCTTTAAAAATATCTGATTTTCCTTTATTCTTTAAAAATATATGCATATTTGAATTATCTTCATAATTAGATATAGCAGATAAATATTTTTTTTCAAAGGTGACTTCATAACAGATCTTAACTTCCCGCCAGGAGCTTCTGATTGTCAATAAGATTTTTGATCTATGTTTTCCATGTAAGGATTATTGTAATAAACTATCAAATCATTCTTATTATCTATTTTTATATATTATATAGGTAATGACCTATTTTTATTGTTTTAAGATAATATGTGCCTGTTTTGGATTAAGCAGCTTTAATTTCGTGTGTGGTGCTTCTTGCAAAATTACGCAATATTTAATTCCATGTGTATATTTAGAAATCTACAGTATTAATTATATGATGAAAATTAATTCCACGTGTATAATTAGGAATATACAGTATTTATTATATGATGATAATTAATTCCACGTGTATATTTAGGAATCTACGGTATTTATTATGATGATAATTAATTCCACATGTATATTTAGGAATCTACCTTATTTATTATATGATGATAATTAAATTAACGTGTATATTTAGGAATATACGGTATTTATTATAAGATTATAATTAATTCCACGTGTATATATAGGAATCTACAGTATTTATTATATGATGATAATTAATTCCACGTGTATATTTAGGAATCTACAGTATTTATTATATGACGATAATTAATTCCACGTGTATATTCAGGAATCTACAGTATTTATTAAATGATGATCATTAATTCCACGTGTATATTTAGGAATTAACAGTTTTTATTACATGATGATAATTAATTCCACGTGTATATTTAGGAATCTACAGTATTTATTATATGATTATAATTAATTCCACGTGTATATTTAGGAATCTACAGTATTTATTATATGATTATAATTAATTCCACGTGTATATTTAGGAATTTACAGTATTTATTATATGATGATTGAATATTTTCCAGCTCCCTGGTTGGCTGCTCTAGATTGAACATAAGAGGATCTAGGACATAAGATATGAATACCCCGTCCAGGCCTCATTAGTAAGACAACATACATGTGACGTGTATTCAGCGTATAAATTTTAATGAAGATATCTTGAATAGTTTAGAACTTTAAAACTGGGTTTCATAAAAAAAATAAGCAAGAGGCCCAGGGGCCACATCGCTCACCTGAACAATTGGCTAGGAAAAAGAACAAATCAGATCAGAACTGAAAGCTTACTGAGGGGAGGGCTTGAATTTTAACCCAAAGGGGGCCATAATTTAAAAAAAATATTATAGGATCTACACTACCTGAGGATGATTCCCTATAAATATCACTAGGCATGGCTTTGAAATACTTGAATAAAAGATTTTAAAAGGTTTCCCTATACATGCCTATGTAAATCTTTTATTGGCCATTGGCCCCATCCTACAATTTGAACAATTTAGAATCTACACTACCTGGGGATAATTCCACAGGAGTTTCATCTTTCCTGTCTCATTGAATCTAGAGAAGAAGATTTTTCCTATATATTCCAGAACCTATGTAAAACTTTGATCGGCCATTTTGGCCCTACTCACCCCTTGGGGTCATGATTTGAACAAACTTGAATCTACACTACCTGAGGATGATTCCACATAACTTTCATCTTTCATGGCCCAGTGGTTCTTGAGAAAAAGATTTTTTAAAATGCCTTTAAAATGCAATTAATTTATCTCTAATTCATAATTATCTCCCCTTGGAAAAGGGCGCAGCCCTTCATTTGAGCAAAATTGAATCCCCTTTACCCAAGGATACTTTGTAGCAAGTTTGATTGAAATTGGCCCAGCGGTTTTTGAGAAGAAGATGAACATGTGAAAAGTCAACAACAACGACAACGACAACAATGACGACAACGACAGACAACGGACAAATTTTGATCAGATAAGCTTATTTGAGCCTTTGGCTCAGGTGAGGTAAAAAGTATTTCTATTTGAAAAGTGTCTATTGAATTTGTCCTTTAAATATGTCACAGAATTTTTTCTACCTTCTAAAACTCCATCTCTAACAATGAAGATATGTTGATGGACTTCCAGTCCCCTGGTGGACTCTGTAACTTCACTGACATCTTGGCGTTTCCATCTTAATCTCTTCAGCAGTGTTGTTAGTCCCCTGGACGACTTTGTAGCTTTGCTGACATTTTGACTTTGCCCTCTTAATCTCTTCAGCAGTGTCGTTTTTCCAGCCTCAGCACATCCAACAAGTATTCCTCTGGCATGGGAAACAGTTGTCTTCTCCTTTCTCAGAAACTTCTTCAACTCTTCCACTTTATTTATATCATCACTGTCTGGATCTATAACAAAAACAGTCATGTTCTCAGAATAGACATGAAAACACATGCATGAAGCACTAAAATTTGAATTTTTTTAAATGCACTTTATAGGTGTTCCAGGAAAAAAAAAATGTTACTTTCGATGTTATTTTCATATCTTTCTAATTCAGTCCCAGAATATTATCTGGTATTATGGCTTTGGTCGTATGATTTACCCAATGGGCTATGAACAAGGATTGAAATTAGTCACAAGTGACATTGTGTCAATGTTTAATAATTAATATTAGCTGATTGTACAGGTATTGGTAAGAGTTATCTTTATTTGGGCATTAGGAGTTATCGTTTATTTCGTTTGGTCACTGAGTTGTACTTGTAGCTATTTTTATCAACGTACACTGTATACTCGTGGAACCTGTTTGAGTAGTTTGGTCGGTTAATTATACTGGGTGTTGGCTTGTGTTTGTCAGATGAGGTTTGGATGCCGGGAGTTAAACTTCACCCATGCTGAGTGATCTTGGGTGTGCCCTTTATATTACCGATGCTTGGGTGTATCGGTAATATAACTTAGGTGTGTACTGTTTCCCCTGCTGTGTGATCTTGGGATTCAGGGATGTTTTGTAGCAGTGGTGAGAGCAAGACCTGGGGGCCGACAAAATGACTTTTATGTATAAAATGCCACAGCTCAGTAAGTTTTTACACTTTGCAATATTTTTGTTGTTAGCTTTAAAGAGCAATTTTCTTTGGAAAACTATAGCGAGAATGTATATATTTAATACGCTCTAATTCATTCACTTGTTAAACTGCAAAAATATATGTTTTCTTCTGTAATTAGTTTGTAAAATATAGTATGTATATTGAACAGATGTGTGTTTTGAATATTTTATTAGAAAAACCCTATGAAAATTGTAGGTGACCAAAATTGTATACCGTAAATCTGGAAAATTTTACTGTAGATAAATTTTTAGCAAATTTGCGCATGCATTGCACTCGCAAAAATATTTTTCTTAAAAATAAATCAACATGTGAAGAATTTTTTTTTCTGAGAACTGACGTGTCTCTTTTTAACTCAGTGAATAGGCATCGGTAAGCACTGGTCATTTGTGAAAGAAACCTGTTTACACTATTCTACTATAAAACTACAAGTTAATTACCCGTGCGTGTAAATTGCCCTCATTAAATGTAATATCGTCCGATGATTTGACAAGCACTGAGATGGTATGCCCCTTCTTAACTATTTTCATCAATTAATTTGCCAGTAGGCCTAAAGAGAGAACTGTCATTTTATCTAACCGTGTATAAACACGGGCGATAACTCAAACTCAGTGCATTTACTAGTAAGTTCCAAATGTGAACGCGGCGTGTAAATTTTAGGTGAGAAAAAACTAAACTTTGAGAAAATTGATTTAGATATTATTAACAGTACAGCCAAATCCTTTTGTATTTTTATGAAAATTGTTTTGGAGCGATTTTGCAATCGCTTGCAACGTTTCGAGTATATTGGCGGTTTTCTAACTGGGCATATTATTTGAAACATAACCTGATATGAAAATCTTCAGTGATTTTTATTTTTAGCACCAGTGACAATTCGCAAAAATTTGAAGCGTAAAAATTGATCAACAGCTTTTTGACTCAAATTCGCAAAAATAAATCGACGTAAAATTTTCCAGATTTACGGTATTAAGCTTTTGTTCTGAACGGGAGGATTGGTGTACGTGGTAAGGCTACTTTTAGGATATGGGGGACCGGAAGGGACAATATGGTGGACCATACATTGCGACGTGGTGTGAAGTGTGAATCTGTCCAGTGATGACCATGATTGAACTTTTCGCCGTTTTCATGTTTATTGTACATAGTAGATAAATTTATTGTTAATTATTATGAATCTTGTTATTTCTTGGTGAACAGAAGGTCATCCAAAATATTATTTGTTTTGGGTTGTTAATACAAATTTAAAGAACCCATCACAACTTGAGGTCAGTTGTGACAAAATTAAACATTTTTTGTCAAAAAAAAAAAATTATTCCTCTGTTTAAAGTTTACAAACATAGATAATTAAATACTACTTTTGTAACAGAAAAATAGTTATGTCTTTTACACATGAAACAAGAGGTCCATGGGCGACATGAGTCACCTGAGTTACTTTGGAGATGCCTTTTTTTAACCAGAATCCCCCCTTTGTATTACATATTGAGGCCATATCCTCCCCCTCCCTGGGGTCAGGATTTTAACAATTTAGAATCAACACTACCCAGAATGCTTCCGTATAAATTTCAGCTTTACTGGCTCAGTGGTTCTTGGAAAGAAAATTTCTAATTTTTTTTCTATATATTTCTATGTTAAACGTGGATTCCATATTGTGTCAATGTGGCACCACCCGCCCTACCCCGGGGGTCATGATTTTGCCAATTAGGAATCAACACTACCCCTATGATGCTTCAACACAAGTTTCAGCTTCCATGGTCTGTTGATTCTTGAGAGAATGATTTTTAGAGAATTTTTTTCCTACGCATTTCTATGTAAAAGTAGGATCCCCTACTGTGACCCCGCCCTTAGTATCCCCAGGGGTCATGATTTTAATAGGTTAGAATTTTTCTTTCCTAAGGATACTTCCAGGTAAGTTTCATTTTTTCTTTGCCATTGGTTCTTGAGAAGAAGATTTCTAAAGATTTTCTCTACCTATATATTTCTATATAAAACTTAGATTCTTTATTGTGGCCCCATCCTACCCCTGGGGGTCATGGTTTTCATAATTTAGAATCTACACTACCCCAGGATGCTTCCACATAAGTTTCAACTTTTCTGGCCAAGTGGTTCTTAAGAGGAAGATTTTTAATAAACCCACCCTACTTTCATCTTTTCTTGATTATCTCCCCTTGTAAGGGGACTTGGCCCTTCATTTTGACAATTTGAATTCCCCATCACTCAAGGATGCTTTGTATCAAGCTTTGTTAATATTGACCCAGTGGTTCTTACGAAGAAGTTGAAAATGTGAAAAGTTTACAGTCGGACGGACAGCTAGACAGATGTACGCCGGATAAAATGTGATCAGAAAAGCTAACTTGAGCTTAGTGCTCAGGTGAGCTATTCTGATAATAAACCAGAAGTCTGTATCGAGACTGAAGCACTACTGGTTTGTACTTATAGCAAAGGAAGAGAAAAGTACTTAAGCAGTTGGGAATTGAAACTTAACAACAGCAATAAATAGAATAATGATCCTTGATAAAATCTCTTTGTGTTCTTAGTGTAGTCTACTTGTGTGCCAAGTTATATCGAAATCAGACTAAAACTGTAGGAGGAGAAGCATTTTGAAACAATTTTACAGACATTTCTATTCTTAGTAACCTTGGCAACACCATTCATCGATATCAAAAACATTATGGATCTTAATGTAGTCTACTTGTGTGCCAAGTTATATTGAAATCAGACCAAAACTGTAGGAGGAGTAGCATTTTGAAATTATTTTACAGAAATTTCTATTTTTAGTTACCACGGCAACACCGTTCATTGAAATCAAAAACCAATACACCGCGTTATGTATCTTAGTGTTATCTACTTGTGTGCCAAGTTATATTCAAATCAGACTAAAACTGTAGGAGGAGTAGCATTTTGAGAAAAAAAAATCACCGAAATTTCTATTTTTAGTAACCATGGCAACATCTTTCATTGAAATCAAACCCTATGTATAGAATTATGTATCGTAGTGCAGTCTACTTGTGTGCCAAGTTATATTGAAATCAGACCAAAACTTTAGGAGGAGAAGCATTTTGAAACAATTTTACAGAAATCTCTATTTTTAGTAAGGATATGGAAATAACGAACAGTATTCAATCTCAACGTCCATTAAACAAATATACAAAACAAGAGCAGAGCAAACACGGACAATGGCAACAACATTCACCTAAATTAAAAACCGATACTTAGAATTATGTATCTTAGTGTAGTCTACTTGTGTGCCAAGTTATATTGAAATCAGACCAAAACTGTAAGAGGAGTAGCATTTTGTAAGAATTTCAGGGAAATGTGTATTTTTAGTTACCATGGCAACACCTTTTATCGAAATCAAAAAATGATATACAGAATTGTGTATCTTAGTGTAGTCTACTTGTGTGCCAAGTTATATTGAAATCAGACCAAAACTGTACGAGGATAGCATTTCGTAAGAATATCACAGAAATGTCTATTTTTAGTTACCACGGCAACACCTTTTATCGAAATAAAAAAATGATATACAGAATTGTGTATGTAATAGTTACATGATGACACGAGATGATGCATACAAAATATCCTTGAGTTATTGCACGCGAGGAGGCGTTAGCCTCCGAGTTTGCAATAACGAAACGATATTTTGTATGCATCATCGAGCTGTCAATCATGTAACTGATTTATCCCATGACCCTTCATTTGACCTCTTCCCATATTAGGTATTTTCTTTGCATCAACTAATAAAGACTCTGAATCAGAACCACGTGATAGTCTTAATGCGAAGGGTTTTTGGTATCCAAGTAACGGACTTACAAATTTGGTAAATTTTCTTAGTACTGTACCACGTGATTATTTTCTTGAGATAATCAATTCATTTGTATTCTATGGATTTGGAGAAAGTAGTAGAAGGGGTCTATAGCGTAAATAATCGCCGTTTTTGCAGCAAGCCTACGACGAAGATCATTTTCAATCGAGTCAAGCAGTTCAGATTGTATGAACTCAGCCGATCGGATTTAAAAATGGCCCATGTGGCCAGGAATTTTATGAATTTCGATTTACCGTGTTGGTGTTTTGGATCATTTCCGGAATTGAAACGGGAAAATTTTACGGAATGGACTGAAAATACTAGCTATACAGATTCGGAAAACATGTGTCGGCCAGTGAAATAAGTGGAAAATTTAACAGAATGGACTGAAAATACTAGCTATACAGATTTGGAAAACATGTGTCTGCCAGTGAAATAAGTGCGCTTAAAAAATCAAGAAAGTAAAACCACACGCCTTAACAATTCATCAGTTCATGGGCAGTCAATATGGTTC